CCCATTCCCAGTTTCTGACAGTGACTAGAAATACCATCTCTGCCCATCTTGGCTAATAGCCATTCATGAACCTATCCTCTATAAATTTATCTACTCATGATTTTATACACTTTAATCATATCCCCCTTTAGCTGTTTCTTTTCCAAGCAGAAAAACCCCAGTCTTGCACTCTAAACCTAGGTCTATATTATGGCACCATGCAGAGTACAGGCACTACACATGCAGCTACCAGCCACAGTGAAAGTCAGACTGTATCCACACCTATTACTGTATTGTGTAGCTACATGCTGCAGTCAAAGGCTCTAGCAGCAGCTCCATTCTGCACAGCCTTTCTCTGCAGTGAGCAAAGGCTCTGGCAGGGGCAAGACATTGGGGAAAGGTTCTGGCAGAGAAGGCAGTAGGACACCACACTACTAAAAACAATGTCAACATGGAAGGTACTGTTTGGGCATGTAGAGAGCTATGTAGATTATATACTCTAGGTATTCAAAGTAAGGAAGTTAAATTTGAATGGGTTAATTGACTAGTCAACTAGTTGATGGAATTTCCATGGACTAGTCGACTAGTTGATAGGCACTTCCTCATTCCTCCTTTGAAATGTACAAGAGCCCCAGCAGGAGGAATGTGGAGGAATGTGGACCTCCAGTACAGCCCGGGGCCAGCGGGAAGTCCCACTGACTCTGGGCTGCACGTGAGTGCCTGCTTTGAAATTCACAAGAGTCTCCAGTGGGGGCTCTTGTGCATTTCAAAGCAATGGAGCACAGGGTCAACAGGGGACTCACAGTCGTCCTCTGACTCTGGGCTCTATATTATGCTGCATGCCACTAGGGGCCCAGGGTTAGTTGGGGCGTACCTAGCTGACCCCGGGTTCCACACAGCACCGTGCGGCACTTTCCTGGACTCCCCATCTGATCCCGGGTTCTGGGGAAATGCCGCAGGGAGCCTGGGTCAGCTGGGAGTCCCCAGGTGGCCCCAGGCAACACGGCAGCTGCCCCTTTGAAATGTGCGGAGGTGGCATTTTAAAGGAGCAGATGCTGCACAGTCCCCTGCTAGCCCCGGGCTCTATGCTATGCTGCATGCTGCTAGAATCCCGGGGTCAGCAGGGGACTCCCAGGTTCCACGTGGCACTTCCCCAGAACCAGAGGTCAGCTGGGGACTTCCCAGCAGATCCTGGGTTCTGGGGAAATGCTGCGGGGAGCCCAGGATCAGTTGGGGAGTCCCCAGCTGCCCCCGGGCTCCAGGGCTGCCCCTTTGAATCACGCAGAAGTGGCATTTTAAAGGGGCAGCCCACCGCACAGCTGATCCGTGAATCAGCTGTGCAGCAGCTGCCTTGGGGTTTCAAAGCAATAGCGCCACTGTGCGACGCTGCCACTTTGAAGAACCCCTCCCCCTCCCTTTGCTGCCTCTATTTAATAGAGGCAGCAAGGGTGGGGATATCGACTAGTTGACTATTATCGGATAGTCAACTAATCGACTAGTCTTTAACATCCCTCATTCAAATGCATAGGGCACTCTACTATACTGTCGTCACGTAAACATTGTCTCACTATCTACAGTTTCACACTGATATGTATGTGTGGGTGGGTGCGTGTACTACGTGGGCATGAAGTCTCAATTCAGCACACCTCTCTAGGTGCATACAGAGCTGGGTCCATTTTTTTAAAAATGGACAGTTAGGATACATTTTTTCCCCCTGTGGAATAAACTGAATGTGGTCCACCCAGTCACACTGCATCTAACAATCAGGTACCCAAAGAGTCTACAAAGTGAAGGAATGGGTTTCTCGGAAAAATTGGATCAGAATACAAATAAATCCTGTCATTTTTAATTATGATTATTTAACTAAAAGAAAGCTTAAGTTACTGTATCCTTCCTGGAACCTTAAATTAAATATGAACAACTGATGCACTTTAGGCAAACTCCCAGTCCAACTGAACTCACTGGCTACGTCTACACTGGCCCCTTTTCCGGAAGGGGCATGTAAATTTCACTAGTCGTCGTAGGGAAATCCGCGGGGGATTTAAATATCCCCCGCGGCATTTAAATAAAAATGTCCGCCGCTTTTTTCCGGCTTTTAAAAAAGCCGGAAAAGAGCGTCTAGACTGGCCCCGATCCTCCGGAAAAAGTGCCCTTTTCCGGAGGCTCTTATACTTTGAAGTAAGAATAAGAGCCTCCGGAAAAGGGCACTTTTTCCGGAGGATCGGGGCCAGTCTAGACGCTCTTTTCCGGCTTTTTTAAAAGCCGGAAAAAAGCGGCGGACATTTTTATTTAAATGCCGCGGGGGATATTTAAATCCCCCGCGGATTTCCCTACGACGACGAGTGAAATTTACATGCCCCTTCCGGAAAAGGGGCCAGTGTAGACGAACCCATAATTTATAGTGCAGTTTAAGTTTAAGGGTTTCTTGTCTGTGATCACATACTAGTAGCACCAAGTCTCAGAGCTTAGGTAAACTGGCTAAGGCTGTGGGACTAAGAATATCAGCACAAACATTTAGACTCAGACTGGAGCCCAGGCTCAGAGACCCTTCCTTCTTGAGGGGTCTCAGACCTCAGGCCCAAGCTTGAATGTCTACGCTGCTATTTTTCAGCTTTGCACGAGTCCTGAGAGCCCCAGGCAGGTGTCCTGGGCCAGCCATGGCAATGTATAACATTGTAGATGTACCTTGTGCATTTTGCCATCAACTTCAAAGAGACAAGGATTTGTCCTATAGACACTTTCTGTGTACGCATGGCTGAATTGATACCTGGTGCAACTCCCAAGTAATCAGTAAAGTAACATAAGGAATACATTTGTCCTTTAAGTGTTACTGTGTGTAGCTGTTTGAATAAAGACAAATATGCATTCAAAGAACCATTAGGCACCTCTACTCATCAATGCAATTAAAACATACCAGCAACTTTCTACCTGTTAAAAGTATTTACTGTATTTTTCAGTTTCATTAGGATTACACACAGAACCTCTGGCACAGGACCACATGAGTGATCTTACTTAATTGAACCATTTTTTCTCACTTGAGTCACAAAATCAAAAATGTAAAATAAGTTAAAATATAACATGAAGTACTTTCACTAGTCACAGTGCATTTCACAAGTCTTCCCAAAAACCACTTATTTTTCACTCAACTAGCAATTTTTTTATTTATGATTTGTGCCTCTCATTTCAGAAACTAACATTACTAAATTATGTTTCATGTATTAATTCAATGAAAAAATCCACGGTGACATGCCAACATGTAATTTAAAGTATATTCAGCTAATGACTGAAAACTCCTTATATGAGATACACAAGTTAACTATTCTTAATAAAATCAGATTAATGTCTCCTTTGCGGTTACAATAAAACTGATTAGTAGATCTAAAATAATTGTTTTATAAGCTTTGGATTGACTGGGACAATGCTTTTAAAACACAGAACCCCAGCAAGGCATTCAATTACAGCAGTTAAGCCTGTCTCAGATAAAAAGATTTTCCAATCATAATAAGATTAATACAACTTTATGTACTTTTAAGAACTAGAAAATCTGAATTAAGATATCTTTTATACCACATATTCTGGAATACATATTAAAACACTCAGCATGGGATTAAAGCAACTAAGCTACACTGATCTAAGAACTATTTTGTCTTTGAGTTTAGTCAAAAGATAACCACATATTTGACAGTTATGTTTATATCAAAAGATATGTTCTATTTGCAGTAGATGTTGTAGAATATATGCTTAGTAATATAATCTGACAAAAGACATTGTACTTGTAAATACTATTAATTCTATGGTAATATAGTCCTGCAATGTATTCACTCAGAAGTAATTTGACAGCAATTCATTGAAAAACACATCAAACTGTCCCTTATCTTTTTGCTACACAAGACACCCTAACTGTAGACAGTAATTAGAAAAACATGATAAACTGTTAAAAATTTCACTTTAATTCATCCAGGAATATATGCCATTAAACAAAAAAGTACAGCAATCAGTTTCAGAATAAAACTTGACAGGTTGTTATGATTTTTAGATATACCAAGCTTTTAGGATCAATTTGATTATTTAATCTGCTGAGCAGGCTCTCATATTTTCTTATGACTTCTGCCAGTACCAGAGAAATCCATGAGGTCATAATCATGCATTGTTGTCACTAATTTTCTATAAGTACTGTAATTTCAAATGAGTTAAATCATTTGAGTAAAAATTTACCTTCAAAGCTAATAGCTTACAGGCATTGTTTAATTATATAAAGTTCACAAGTCATTCTCACCTATATAATTTAGAATCAGGAAAACAAGTTACTATGATACACTATAAAGTACTCATTAAGAAACAAGGTTTTCAAGGATAAAAGCTCAAAGCAACAGGTTCATAGATCAAAATAACAAATAATGAAAAGACATATTCCACTGGAAAGATTATTCAGTTAATTTTTCTGATCTCTCTGGGGAGTTACTGATTTAGGACCTAGCTTTCAACAGACTGAAACAAGCAAAATCATAATCAAATAAATACTTATTATTTGAGTTAAGACAAGAAAATATTCTATAAACTAAGATACCGTTTCTAAAAAGTAACATTACTTACTAGTCTTTATCCAATGTAACATGTTTGGTGTTCTTCTTTCTATTTTTTTTTTAATTTCTAAAATTACAGTAAATAGTTTTAAATCCACCCCCACCACCCCAAAAGGAATCACCAGCTAGTTAGACAGTATTCCAACTGTGGTGGCCTTAGCCAGATAGAACAAATATATTTGATTACTATGATTTTTAAGCATTGCTTCCAAGTGAGTTACAAAAACTAGATTAAATTTGCAATTATATCATAGATTTTAAGGCCAGAAGGGACCATAGTGATCATATAGTCTGTTCTCCTACAACTAGCATTCTACTTTAGCAAAACTTGTATTTTTTTTCCAGAACACATTATAGCAATCTAACTTTCAGGAAAATAGTTTTCTAAAACTTTAACCACAATTTTACAAAACAACTAATTTAGTTTTAACTCTTTACCTTTGTTGTACATTTCGTAAATTAATGCTCCTTAATCACTTCCATAAAAAGAAGTCTAGGCAAACAAGACTAATCAACAAAGCTGAAGAGGCAGAGTTTTCCCTCCTTTCCAAAGCAGTAGTTTAGGCAGATCTAGTAATTTCTCCCCTTTTATCACTTAAAAAAGAAACTTGAAGGATTTTAAAAAGATAATGTTGTTGACCATCCTGAACATTCAGAAAACCCAAAACAGCACTGTTTTCTTTTGGCTTCAGCATGCAAGCATTTACAGTAAAATAAAACAAAATGATATTCATTAGAGCTACCAGAAGCCCAGTGGTTGCAGTCTTAAAACAGAAAAGAATAGAGTTCAGTCAGGCACAAAGGTCTCCATGGCAACAGTGAATTTAGACCCCCATTGGCATTATTTATGCAACATTTCATCACAAAAGGACCCTCCCACTAGCCTAGCTGGCATATTCTACAGTTTTCCAATCTCTCTTCCTTCTTCCTTTTAATTCATAGCTGGCCCTTAAGCTATTTGTATCTCAACATAAATATCCCATAGCATCGTAAAATAAATTCAACCTGTCTTTCGGCTTTGTTGTGCTATATTTCAGAGACAGCGGAAGCATTTTAAATCCTGCAGAGTTTATATTTATAAACCTTTCTACTTTGATATCAAAGATCCACAGTTTGCCAGCAAAAAAATAAATTTCACTCATTTTAAATACATTGTTTTCTACTTTTATTTCATTATAATCTCCCTAAATATGGGACTAAAAATTGAAATCTTGGAGAAAAACATTTGAGAAAAAGCATTTTTGGCAAAAGTGCAAAGCAGATGCCACACTAAACTGCTGGCCTGTGCCCATTTCCCAATGATAATTTTTCATCCGTGTTTGCAGTATAGAAAACTAATTTAACATTTATGTATTTTTATTTTGCTTTTTGTAACTATGAAAGGGCAATATATTTGATTTACATTCACATTGTAGAAGTTAACAGAAAATGAAAATGCATAATAAAACACATTTCCACGCTATCACAACACAAACAAGTCTTTTTATAAATATACTATCATTTCCCTTTTAACCTTAATAAAGTTATTTTATATTGCAAAATGTTTTAAAAATATAATATTTCAAAATGTTTAAAATTATAATTTTGCTTTGACAAACTTAGATACAGGCATTTATAAATGTAAAAAATGAGGTTAAGAGATAAAAGCAGGTTAAAGGTTAAGGCCTTCTTTCCTTCTGTATTTAAAACTCTAGCATCCCAACCTTGCAAATGTTTATGTGCACAAATTTACTTTATGCATGTCAGTAATTCAATTGACTCAATAGCATTATTTATTTGCATTATTGTTTGTTGGATTCAACAGTGTTTTTGGCTCCCCAATAAGAAAAGTATAATGTCAATGATGGATGATAACTTCATATCAAATAATTTTAGATTTTCCTATAAAAATGACTTACTGTATTTTTCTGTGCTGAAAACCTTTAGTTACACAAGTAGTTCCACTATAATCAATAAGAGTAATATGATAGTAAGGATTTTTCATAAATAACGGGTTGATTCTGCAAATCCTAAATAATTAACAAATACATAATCTGAATAGTGAGAGAAAGATACTATTGGACTACATTTTAATGCATACAAAATGTTTTTTGGGCTATCTTTCCCTCCCCCTTTCATTCCATAGAGAATGAGACTGCTAAATAGATACAGACATCACACACATACACATGTGGAGTATGTCTACACTACAGAACTGGGCATGTGATTACCACTTCATGAAGATATACTCATGCTAGTATTTTAGGTTAGCTGACATAGCGAGCGGCAAGTAGTGAGTGGCATGGGCTAGCCATGCTAAGTGTGGATACATGATAATCAGGTGGCTTGTACTTAGGGTGTGTAATGTATGGAAAGCAGAAATCAGATTCTAGCCTAAGTCAGCCTACATTTGGAGCAGTATGGGAAACTGATGTTGCAATTGAGAGAAAAATTAGGCTAGGCATAGGCTGGAGATAGTAAAATGGGAAAACTGACACTAACAAGAACATGACCTAAAGTTATACTGTGGCTCTCTTTTGGTTACAGTTGGTTTTAACAGCGTTATACTGTGTTTTTTTTTAAAGAATTATGACTGTTTTATTAAAATATCTATATAGATAGTATGAGAAGAACATTAGTACAGATGTTCAAGTCAATAACATGTAATGTGAAGAACCAATAAAAATGGCAGAAATGTGATTATGGCAGGTTCAAGGTTGATTAGCATTATAATACATTATAAAAGGACTAGTTTTCTTACAACTAGGGGAGATGCAAGTAATATCAAATGGATACATTAGGTTCCAAGACTATAAGGCTGTACTTCCCTCTTTCCACTACAGCGACTGTCCATTGATACACCATTTAATCTTTGAGGGTAAGTACAATTGTAGCATTGTGTAAATGGTAAACAGATGTCTATTTCCTTAACTCATTTCTCTCTTGAATAGTTTGGTTTTATTATTCCAAGTGTTACCTAGAAATCCTCTACTACATAAATTTTCTGTAACTATGAGACTTGAACCTACAAACTAATTTGTGTTTGTGCTCCTTTGATACACCATTTAATCTTTGAGGGTAAGTACAATTGTAGCATTGTGTAAATGGTAAACAGATGTCTATTTCCTTAACTCATTTCTCTCTTGAATAGTTTGGTTTTATTATTCCAAGTGTTACCTAGAAATCCTCTACTACATAAATTTTCTGTAACTATGAGACTTGAACCTACAAACTAATTTGTGTTTGTGCTCCTTTATCTTTAACAAGTTAGTATTAATTGATAGGATTTCAACATAAAAGATTATAAGTGCTATCCCATGCCTCCCTTCCCACCTATTGTCGCTACATTGCTATTTTTAGCATGTTAGTGGGGTAAGAGTTAGCATGAGTATGTCTACACAAACTGGGAATCACACCCCTATTTCATCATCTTAAATTAGTCATATAGTGGCCAGTTCTTTAGCTGGTGTAAATCAGCATCAATACATTGATTTTATGGACCTGTCCAAAGCAGAATATGATTTTATTGTTATTGTGAGAGCTTGAGATGGGCACTTCTCTTATTTGTTTTATAAATCAAAGTGAAATAAAATGATCATACAAATTAAAGTATTTACGCACGGGACAGGAATTAACATTAGCACATACTAATAGCAGTTGGCTCTTAATATCCTCACCAAAGGTACGTTAACACTGTAGATTTATTTAGGGATACCAGAAGTATCCCAAAATAGCTATTCCAATAGTCTATTGAAGCAAACTGTTATTTTGAAATAGATTTCTGACATCCTGGTAATCCTCGTTCTACGAGGGTTAAGGGCAATTTTGGAATTTATGAAATAAGCTATTTTACAATAGCATTGAAATAAGCTAATTGAGTAGCTTATTTCAAACTATGGGTGCTATGTAGATGCACCTCAAATCACTAAAATAATACTGTAAATAGTGATCTTTTCTTAGTACACTAAAAAAACTTTGTAGCCAATCTGGACCAAAAGAAAGACAGACTTTATGCATACCAAAGTACAGTTCTCCCTTCTTTGAAGAGCAATGACCTGAGATCTAACATACTATCCTTCTATTTATCATTAGTGATTGGAAGTTGTAACATTTTAAACAGAAATTATAGCAATATGCTCTCTAAAATGTCATAGAAAAGCTAGGGGACAATTTTGCTAGCTTCTATAGGATACAATGTATGCATAGGGTTGCCAGGTGTCCGGTATTCAACCGGAAAGTCCGGTATTTTCGGCTCGTCTGGTAAATAAATTCAGAGAATACCGGACACCTAAAATGTCCGGTATTTTCTGAAATTTTCTTTGGCCAGGAGGCAAAAATGCCAGGCATCTAGCAACCTTACAAACACTCAGTGCCCGGGCTCCCCCCGCTCAATCCCTCCTGATCCCCAGCCCCCATACTTACCTGGCTGCTGACCAAGGAGAAGCATTGGGTCTTAGTGCTCAACCTCTGTACTGTTCTTATCCCTATCCCTGCATTTAAAGGGGACATGCTGCTTTAATGCTGGTTTTTTTTTTCCTTTGGCTTTAAGTCCTTGGAGTCCTTTTTTTTTCTTTTTATCACAAGTTTGGTCTCCGCCCCCTCCCCTCCCCCATTTTCCCCCTTCAACAGCATTTTTTCCCGGTGTTTTTTTGGGGGGAGGAGGAGGGTGTTTGGTATTTTTGTTTCAACCATCTGGCAAACCTATGTATGCATGTCAAGAGGAGTGAGATTTCAGTGTCTGAACAGAATGGGCTGACTCAGCTTTTAATCACCAGGCTTCATTCATCCATACTCCCTATGGCAGAGGCAAAGTGCAGTAATAATGATCACCTAATTGGGGAAGAGAGAAATCAGGGAAAAAAACCCAACACAAGCACTTTTAGAAAGTCCCTTGGTTTTAGTATAAACAATCCTTTTCTGTATCTGCTATGAGCAGTGTAATAAGGCTATAATCAATCATTGCCAACCTTTTTCAAAACTACCGGTATTCAAATAAAAATACTATTTATAATAGAGGTTTTAAGATGTCAGGGTCTGTTTCAGGACACAGAGAAGGGGATGAGTGCTTACAAGATTTGTTTTCTTTTATGAACTAAGTTACGTATTTACTAGTTTCCCTATAGCTTTGCCAAGCTGTTGGCTTGTTTCAAAGAAAAGAGCAGCAGATTTTACCTTTCTATTTCTTCCCTATTTGGGAAATACTGAAAATTATTATTTGCAATAAATAAAACTCCATGGAATGGCAGTCTAATGATTAAAATCTAGTTCACATGAAATAATGTTTCCAAAAGACAATTAAGTACACATTACTCAAGGTATCTTGTTTCATTGAAATATTGAGACTGGCTCTCCTGTTAGTATTTCAATATGCTCTTAGGAAGGTTCTATATCAACAAATAAAAAAACATGACATATATATTTCAGCAATGTCCAAAATTGTGTGTGTGTGTGTGTGTGTGTGTGTGTGTGTGTGTGTGTGTGTGTGTGTGTATCCCCACACAAGAATATATTAATTGAATAAATAAATAAATAAATGTATTGTATTTATTTAATACAAGTAATATTATTTCAGCTACTGAAATAAATGGAAATGAATATAAAATAAGGAGTCCATGATGCTATTAAAGTATTTTGATTGTTTCAAAACTGTCAATCCTTTTTCAGTTAAATATTTTGAAAGTTAAAACAAATACTACTGGTAGCTATTTATTGGAAGTTAGGCAAAACTATTCCAAACTATTCCAACTATTCCAAACTAAATAGTCAATATTTAAAACAGCTATTATACAACTGTCATCATCAGTGTATT